GGACTTCTGTCTACACAGGCGAAGACACATTTTGCTGCCCCCAAAATTTATCTTCACCTGTCTGTCTAATATTCCCACTTTTGCCCCTCTTACCAATTATTTTTTTTCCCCTTTGCATCTTACCACCTTTTTCTCTTGTTTTCCTTTTTTGTATATTGTATCCTGTCTGGCATTATTTTTTACGTGTTTTGTGTCTTCATCCTACTTTTCTTTACCCCTTTGCGTCACACACTCACTCGCTCATACACACACACACTGACCATAACACACACACACTGACCATAACACACACACACACTGCTAATACACACACACTGGCTCTAACGCACACAGTCTCTTACACACTTGGACGGCTTATACACACTCACCGGCTCTAACAGACACACACAAACAGTCTCTTACACACACTGCTTATACACACTCCCTAGCTGTAACACACACACAGTCTCTCACACACACACACTGCTTTACACTCACACAGTCTCTTACACACACACACAGTTTATAGACACACACACACTAACTCTTACACACACACACACACACACACTAGCTCTTACATACACACACTGGCTCTAACACACACACACACACACACTAACTCTTACATTCACACACTGGCTCTAACACACACACACACACTAACTCTTACACACACACAAACTCTAACACGCACACACACTAACTCTTACATACACACACTGGCTCTAACACACACACACTAACTCTTACATACACACACTCGCTCTAACACACTAACTCTTACACACACACACACACACACTCACCCCTCTACACACACACACACACACACTAATCACCCCACACACACACACACACACTCACCCTCTACACACACACACACACACTAACTTCTTACACATACACTCAACTCTCTTACACACACACACTGGAGGTTTCTAACACACACACTAACTCTTACATACACACACTGGCTCTAACACACACACTCACCCCTCTACACACACACACACATCTAACTTCTACACACACACACACACACACACTACTACTCACACCCTCTACACACACACACACACTAACACCCCTACACACACACACACACGCACACACACTTCAATCTCTACACACACGCACACGCACACACACACACACACACTAACTCTTACACACACACACTGCTCTAACACACACACACACACACTAATTCTACACACATACACTCAACTTCTACACACACACACACACTCACCCCTACATACACACACTGGCTCAACACACACACACACTAATCCTTACATACACACTGGCTCTAACACACACACTCACCCCCTACACACACACACACGCACTCAACTCTACACACACACACACACACACACACACTAACTCTTACACACACACACACTAACTCTTACACACACACACGCACACACACTAACTCTTACACACGCACACGCACACACACACACACACTAACTCTTACACACACACACTGGCTCTAACACACACACACACACACACACACACACTTACTGTTTCTTATAGTTGCAAAACAGAGGTCCCGCTGCACTGTTGTAGCTTTCCTCCACAGCAGTTGGCCGCCGGGATATGATGTCACGTATCCCAGCAGCTTGTAGCTCAGGAAGAGAGTTGCCGCGGTCGCTCCTCGCTGTTCCGCCCCCTTCCTTCAGTGGGTGCACGTTTCTCAGCCAGCTGATTAGATTGCTGCAGAAATTGACCGGCGGGAGCGGAGTTCTCTGTGCTCCCGCCAGTCACTCGGACATTTTTGCGCCCCTTGGGTCCGTGCGCCCTAAGGCGGCCACTTGTGCCAGGTCGCGCCGGCCCTGATGCCAGGTCCAGATAGGATTAACCCTTTTTTTTATAAACATAGGAGTTTCAGAGAAATTGCTATGTTTACACTGAGGGTTAATCCAGCCTCTAAAGCCTCTAGTGGCTGTCTCATTGACAGCCGCTCGAGGCGCTTGCGTGCTTCTCACTGTGAAAATCACAGTGAGAAGACGCCAGTGTCCATAGGAAAGCATTATGAATGCTTTCCTATGAGACTGGCTGAATGCGCGTGCGGCTCCTGCCGCGTATGCGCATTCAGCCGATGATGTCGCTAGGAAGAAGGAGAGGAGGAGGAAAGCTCCGCGTCCGGCGCTGGAGAAAGGTAAGTGTTTAACCCCTTCCTCTCCCCAGAGCCCGGCGGGAGGGGGACCCTGAGGGTGGGGGCACCCTCAGGGCACTATAGTGCCAGGAAAACGAGTATGTTTTCCTGGCACTATAGTGGTCCTTTAACACCTTAAGGACTGGACTGTTTTTGCGCTACAGCCGATGGGAACATTAGGTTTATGCGAACGTTGATATACTAGTGTATAGGCAGGCATGAATATTCCTGTTTAGAGGACCAGGTTACATTTGGAACAGTTTCTATTTGCTCCAGAATTAGATACAGTTAGATTCTTCATACTGTTTATCGTCTGTTCAGGGGACCGGGTAATTGGTTTTCAATGGTCCATCTCTAATTCATGTACCTCCAACAAGTGAACTTCAGTTAGTATTGTAGACAGATTAAGCTAGGCATTTATACTATCTTGAATCTGGAGTTAGAATCTACAGCATTTCTTCACTCTGCCTTTCCTATACACCGACGGAGTTCTTCCCTGTGTGTTTCTTAGAAGTGTTAGATTCTTTCTAAGTTTCCTTTCTTTTTAACTTGGGAAATTATTACCCTATATTAAAGGTTTTTTATTTTTTGTGTGCAAACCCATAGAACTCTTTCTCTGGTTGGTATTACCATAGCTTTTTTGCTTGGAATTACCTACATCTTATACTTTGTTACTATTAAAAGGGTTATCCCCTATATAGGGTTCTATGGACACACTATAGATTCTGATTATTTGGAATCTTACCAAATTCTTTTTTCTAAATTTTTATTATTTAAACATTTTTTATTTAAATTACTTATTTATATTTATATATATATATATATATATATATATATATACACAATATATATAGTTATTATATATTATATATATACGTGTGTAATTTAATTATAAGTGTATTTTTATATTAATATAAGTACATATTAATATAAAAATACACTTGGTATGACATTATATTTATGATATATAGACATATATAGATATATGTCTATATATCATATATATACACATATATATTTTTATTTTTAATTAACGTTAACTTTATTTTTTTGATTTTACACTAGCAGGGAGACTGCCTGTCAGTACAGGCAGTCCCCCTGCCGGCAGACACATGGACACCTATTGTGACCATGTGATCGCTGTGTTAAGCGATCACATGGCCACAGGGGTCCTAATTCAGTGTGGGGAGACTGTCT